AATGTATACAGGGTGTTTTGAAAAATCTGGTCATTGATTAATCACGATCCTGCTTAAAGCCCTTGACGTAAAAAGCTGATTTTTGAAAAACGGATTGACTTTAGGTTGTAGAAGTTCGATAAGAAGGGATTTTTCGAAACTCGAATTCTAAGGGGGTGAAACCACCCTCAAATATTAATATATTTTTTTATTTAAAAACCGGTGAGTTTTTCGGAAAAACTCTTAAACACGTATATTTTATTTTGTTGTTTTACATATTTTAAGATTTTTTAAAATTATATACAGGGTGTTTCATAAAATATGAGTAATCACGATTCTGCTTAAATGCTTGACGTTTAAAGCTGATTTTTGGCAAACGGATTGACTTTGTGGTTGAGGTTCGATAAGGAGGGGTTTGTCGAATCTCAAATTCCAAGAGGGTGAAAACGCCCCTCAAATATTACAGTATTTGTTATTTAAAAAACGGTTAGTCTTTCGGGAAAACGCTTGGACGCGCATAATTTATTTTATTTTTTTACATATTTTGAAATTTTTAAAAAAATCATACAGGGTTTCCAAAAAGTTGAGTAATTGATTAAGCACGATTCTGCTTAAACTGCTCGACGTTTAAAGCTTATTTTTGGCAAATGTGAGAAAATTTTATCCAGTTTGTATGTTAATGGAAATTCTTGCTTTGTCTTATCATCACCATTACAAATTATTAATTCGACGCGAACGAAGTCGCGGGTACACGCTAGTTTAAGTGTAAAATTAATTCGAACTCTAGTGTGTAGTTGGTTTGCTTATGAAGAATATACTACACATTTTCTTATATTGCTATTTTTTGACCGCAAATGGTAAAATCATAACTAAGAGCTTCATGCCCGTCGAGTGAGATGCACCCTGTACACTGATACGCAATTCAGGATCTACGCGGATCGAGGGACAGGGCGTAGGTAGATCGTATAGGTATAGACGAGTGGCGGATTTTTGTATTTTTTTATATCGCAATTTGTAAACAGCGCTTATTTGTAAACAACCACCGTTTTTAGAGAGGCATAACAATCGATATTTAGAAATGTTTTGACACCCTGGAAATACTACCACCGAGCACGTCATTGTTGCAACTTGCAACTGCGTTAATACGCCTGGCGGTGACCGCCTCATACTCTTTCAGATATTTAGCAATAAAATAAAGAAACCTGTTATTTTTAAGCTGTTTTTTATAAATAACTATAACAGTTTCAACTGTTATCTAAAAACAACAGTTTTGCCCATCACTACTTTTAATGAACTTCACAATGACCATCATGATTAGTAAATCATGATGATTTACTAATGTACAACTTTAAAACTAAGACTTGATTACTAGTCTAAGTTTGACTAAACAGAACGTCAACGGTTATGATAGTCGTTTTTGCTAAAAACTAAAATGTTCTCTAAATAGTTATATTTAGGCATTTTCAATAGCTTTTCATCAAAAGTATTAATACAAATATTAAAACGAATTATAAAGAATTTATAATCTAACCAACGCGCCACCATTTTTTAATGTTGTGTGTTGTGTTTTAATGTGTATTTTGTATGGCGCGAAAACTTTATAAATAAAGTAATACATAAGCTGGTACATGTAAGTTGTTATATTATTGTTAATTATTGTTAAACCTACTTAAATATATAATAATTTACTGTTTCTAATCACCTTGTTGGAAGAAGAATAGATAAAAACCATTACATTCTCAATGTGTATTTCTATTCTCCCGAATAGCAGGTGAATAGAAACACGAATGTTATTTTTATTTAATATTTATTCGCATATTTTTCAAAAATCAAATTATATGTATACGCAAAGAACAAACATAGACCCATGTTTTTAAATATTCGGGAAAATAATACCACATTTTTATCAACCGGTATATCGCTAATAGCCTACGAAACTGTTTCTATTCACCCCATTTTACGGTATTACTAATTATTAATATACCACCATTGTTTCCGCCCAAAAATTAGTTAATTACATACTTAATTGTTTTAATTAATAAATTATTCTAAATAAATGTGGATATGACTCAGAAATCAATACAATAATAACTTATGAAAATGAACGTCTCTGTTGTTATAAATTAGCATTCTACAAAATGTAAAATAAAGTTTATAAATTGTTACTTTTTACCACACTGACTAATACACATTCAAAATTCAGTTTTTTAGTATTTGGAGCAATTATTATTAAACAACGTAACCACATATTGGGATCCTATTAATTGGTCCGCTTTAACAAAAAATATTTAAACAGTTTTTTTATCTTTTAATAAAATAAGCGAACTATATCGACAATATTAGTATCTGAACTCTTTGAAAATTTGTTAAAAAATTTGTTTGCTTTAAAAATAATCTAAAATGTCAATATTCCATGGGTATAGCGATAAATGAGGTCTAAATTATTAGAAAATACTTTTTTTTACAAAAACTTGGAGATAGGTAATAAATGGTATAATACAATTTGATAGACAATTAAATTGGGCATCTGATTCTCGTAAAATATACAGAATGTTCCATTTAAATTAAATAAGTTATTGCCGATTAAAGCTAGTAATTATTTAATATAATTTTTTAAACACTATGTATAAGGTAGTATTTTGTTTATTATTGCAACACAATATCTGATCAATAAATAAACTTCAGTAAATAGTATTAAAAACTTCGATACCCTTGGAGAAACAAAGCGTTCAAATTTTTACTGCAATTTCATAAAATTAAAAATATTTCAAAAACGGTAAAGTTTATGTGTGATCAACCTTAATCAAATTTACCCTTATTTCAATCATAGAATTTAAAAATAGAATAATATACAGGGTGTTCCATTTAAAAAATACAACTATAATATTTTTTACTTATTTGGGACACTCTGTATCTTGTAAAAATATGTTTAAATTGTAGCTCTAATACTCCTTCAACGAACCCAAACAATTTGTAAAAATCTAATCATTTAGCTACAATACTCCGTGTCGTATGTGGTGAACAACCCTGTATATTAATCAGGAAATGTGTTTAATATCTATATAATTTGAAGTGTTAATAAATCATGTTATTTGTTTATTTTTGACATTTTTTTAATCACCCCCTTCACCCTTAATACAATTTATATTTAAATCGTTATTCATCATCAAAAAAGGGTTGTTAAATCTTCCGGTTTAAAATTTAATTCCACCAACCATCTAATTTCCTACACTTAATCCTTCTCTTTAATATATTTTTTCTCTCTTCCGGTTAGACAGTTCTTCTTAGCAACGATATAAACAACTTTGTTTGTCGGCTTCTATCAGCAAGACAAAGGCTTAATGGTAATTTGGACGAGTAAAGCATTCAAAGCTGCCAGGCAGCGGTAAGACTCTAAGCGAGATTATCAGGGATTAGGAGTTCTTCCTGTTGCCAGAAACGGAATAGCTAATGCTGGCTTCCGAGTTATTGACCTAAGTACGTAGTTTCTTCGTTTAATTACACAGTAAAGTCAAAATACATTTTAATGTGATCACACGCATCAATTCACAATTTCAATTATTTTTCCTAGATCAAATACTGATCTGTTAAAGATCCATTTAGAGTTTTCTAGAGAAAAGCATTATTTTTTAAGTAGCTAGCTTTTTTAAGTAATATTTTTCTAAAATATACATAGTATACAGAAGCGTAAAAAAGGCTGTAATAAAGGCCTTAATACCTACAGGTGTGCTATATTAAGGTAACAGGTGTGCTATATTCTACATTAAGTTCATCAGACCGAATAGAATGACATATAATATGCCAACTTTTGACATTTTCGCATATGGTTTATTTGAAATTATAACAAGCGGTTCGTAACGAAAATTTAACTCGAAATGCCAAGTGTGTGGTATCAAATTATTCGTAAAAAAATGCTTTTTCCAAATATGCTAATGAGCCACCATCGTTCCATTTGAAAATATTGAGATATGATTAAAAATACGATTTGGGCATTTTCTAACTGGCCAGGACAAGACGCTAAAAACATTAGACGATCAAATCTATTTTTCCAAGGCTCCTTTATTAAGAATTAGTGTTTTTAACATAGTCGTGGCACTCTAGATTGAATTTTAAATGCGATTTTTTTATTAAGCGTGAATGTCAAAAGTTGACATATGATATGTCATTCAATTCAGAAAATCATTTTCTATCGAATAAATTAAGAAAATACCGAGGGTGTCATTTAAAAATCAAAAGTTGTAGTTATTTCCGGTGAAACAAGAAGTGACCAAAACAATTAAAGACGTCAATCAATCCTAATTTATGTCATATACTAACATACCAAATCTGGTTTTTTTATCTGAAAAAATAAAAAAGTTATAGGGGGTTGAGCCATTTTTTAGATACACCCGGTATATCGACAAAAATATTTTTTAAATATACACAGATATTTTGCGCATATACTGTAAAAAATATTGCAGTGAGTATCTCAAATCAGATTTTTTGGAATGCATATAGAGATACATTGATGATTTTATGATATATAAACGATAAAATTAATTAAAATAAATTAATTTTTGTAAATATGAAATCCAATAAAATAAATTTAAAAACATTTTAACGAAGTGTATTATTCAACTGTAATTTAATTATAATTTGTTTTTATTTAGTATTTGAAAATTTTGACCCCAGAACCACGATTATGAGTTTCTTTTCGCGATAAAAAATATTTGCATTTTTTTGAATTTTTTTTTTAGTTTTTAGTTAAAAAACATAATTTCTTGATACTATGGCAACATAGGTGTAGTAGATTAAATTTACAAGAAAGAAAACCCAGAGATTCAGTTGTTTTCAAAATTTAAGCATAAACCTTTTTTTTTAATTTTCAAAGTAAAATAATTGGGTTATTTTGGACATATTTGGAAGAAGTAAAGATAAAATATGTTTCTTTTATCGAGATCTACCAGCTCTGAAAATATTGGCACTTATTTAAGACTCACACCTGTAGGTACAAAATAAATTGTATAAAAAATTGAACTTACCGCCTTTTACTTCACAGAGCAGATTCACATCTGAGCCTTCATTGTATGGTCCTAATAATACTGATTTGTCTATTCTTTTGTCATCATAAATGTGTATCTTCTCAGGAGGTACTGTAACAAAGAAAACTCGTTAATTCTTAAATAAGTAAAAACAACTATATACTATATAAATTAGATTTATTATTAATAAATAACATCTGACTAGTGTTTTTCAAAAGTGGCTCATCCCAGAAGTAAAGTTTCTTAAACCTTTATAACCCGGTAGAATATGAATCCCTACAAATCTACCCCAGAAGCAAACTCTCGAGAAGAAATAAGTCCCTATTTATGCCAAAATGAATAAAGCTAAACCATTTTAGGTCCAAATAAATGTATATTACTGATGAGTTAATAAGAAAATATTTAACAGGAAATTGTAAAACAAGAATGCATGTTGCAATTCGGAACCAATTTACTATCTTTATTAAGTATAAATGGACTACCCTATAAGAGCAAAACTGTCAAAATCAATTTTCGTCACTGTGGACCCGTGGACATAACATGCTAAACTATCCCAAAGATGCTTGAGCCAAACTACGTTTACGTGACTTAAGCTCATTTAGCCCAGGGCTGACATCGGACTTTATCTGATTTTAAGCCGATTATTTTATTTATCGGTACAGATAGCGTAAAACGAGAAAAAGCATAGGGTAGAACACAAAAAGCTAAGTAACTTGACGTATACAGGGCGGTTTGAACTGTATTCCGGAAACTTTGGTAGCATATTCTGCAGATAAAAATAAATAAATAATAAATAAATAAATAAATAAACTTTATTAACTTTTAGATTAGTACATAAAATAACAGCCGTTTCTTTAATAAAGGTACCTAAGACAATGTCTTGTGTTGTGCCTGGTTTTGAGAGTTCCTTTCTTATTAAAAGTTAACTACACGCAGAAGGAAAGAGAAAAAAATCATTATAAATATGTAATAAAAGTATACAAGCTATAATTCTAAAGGTTGATAATAATGGTTTGTCCTATACCAACATGGAGTGCATTATCACATAATTGACAACTATATAAGATTTAATGTTCTTTTTGAAAATACGGCTAGAATATCTCCTGTATAACGAAGGTAAACTGTTATATAATTTTATTCCATTATAAGATATACTTTTTTGGCAGACTGATTTACTAACACGATCTATAGGAGTCATCTGTGCAGCTTGACTTCTGGTATTGTGTGAGTGGTGCGCATGATACAGATTGTTCTTCGAATGTATTAATATTAATATAGATTTAATATACCTATAGACCTCTTACATTCAGGATACAATTTGTTGTGTACTACTTTTAATCTGGAATATGACGCGTATGATAAAATTCTGACAAATTTGTAACTTTTTTAGTGTGGTTTCATACGCCGAACCCCAAACAGATATGCCGTAACTAAGAATTGATTTGGCTAAGCTGCTATAAACGATAAGAAGTAGTTTTTGAGCTAGTACATTGCGCAGTTGATAAAATCTGTATATAAGCTTTCTGATTCTTTTAACCAGATAATCTATATGGAAAGTCCATTTTAAGTAGTGATCGATGAATACACCCAGGTATTTCACAGCATTAGTTTGGATTACTCCGTCATTAAAACCTTTAATATACATGGGACCCAATTGTCTACTTTGCCCTGCAACAGTCGGTGAGAAAGCCATATATTTAGTTTTTGAGACATTTAAACTCAGTCTGTTAGCATCCAGCCATTCTTTCACGTCTTGCAGTGAGGCTTGAGCTTTGTTTCACGTCCTTTCCCATGAAAAATCGCACAAAGCAAAATCGTATCACCCGCATAAGAAATAATTTTACATTCATTATAGTTTAATAAATCATTGATAAATAAAAGAAATAGGGTAGGTCCCAGTATAGTTCCCTGTGGAATCCCAGTTTTTATAATTTTGGTGTTGCTGAGTATCCCGTTTATGTGTACCTGTTGATATCTTTCTGTCAAATAACTTTTAAATAGTGAACAAATTTTACCTCTAATACCTGTATTGTTAAGTTTTTCCAGTAATCTGCTGTGATTACAGTATCAAATGCTTTTTGTAAATCAAGAAAAAATACCAATGGTCTTTTTGTTACTATTAAAATTACTCAGTATGCTTTCTATTAGAATCTGAAGTGGTTGTTCAGTGCTAATTCCCTTCTGAAAACCAAACTGACAATTTGATATAATTTTATGTTCGTTTAAAAAAGATGTCAGTCTCTTGTTAATGCTTTTTTCAAAAATTTTAGACAGACCATTTAGTAATGAGATAGGGCGATAATTAGTCATTTCCATTTTATTTATAATATAATATAATAAGTAAAAAAGTTCTTATAAATGTGTGTTCTAAAATTCTCATTCTCCAAATAATTTCTGAAGTAACGTCAATACTTGGATGAAAATTGGTATCTGGGAGTTTTTTGATTTGAGAAATTTGATTTTGATGTCAATATTACTCCTACTTGTAGAGGGCGCCACCTACATGTTTTTAACTGGTTTAAAGTGTAATAACTTCTCGTCCGCACCTGTATAAAACTACTGAGTAAAAAATATACATTTACGACGTTTTTTACGTAAAAAAGATCTCTGGGTAAAAATCGCTACGAGCAACCTCAAGATATTTAGAATGAAAATAGTAAATACATGTCATTATTGACAAAAAATAATTTGACTGAAATGATAAATTTGGGAACTTTTTATATGTTTAAATTAATAATAAATTTTTTTTCGAAAAAATGATGATAAAACAGTTTCGGTTGAATATTTGGCACAAAAACATTTCAAATGTATGATTTCAGTAACTTTTGGTAACTTTTGGACCAATAGGAGCGGAGCGGAATAGCATCCCTCTGACGTAGATAGAACGTATAAAATCATAGATAAAAGGAATAGAAAATAAAATGCAACTGACAAAGAGAGATAAATGGACAATAAAAAATGTCTGCTATCAATAAAGAAAACACACATCAAACAACTGAAAACTATTGACGCCATACACTATAAACAATAAAGGCAGGCGGCCACTGCGAGCGTAACTAAACTAAGCTAAGAATATGAAAACAAACGGTAACTAAATGGGAACTCCACTGGGAACGATTTTCGCTCAGTAGTCAGCTAAGTTTTCGTATTGTATGTCTGCTATCATAGAACTAATCGCTGCGAAAAATTCGCTGGAACCAGTCACGAACTAAAACGAGCGAAACTGAACTACGAATCTTCGTTCATATATTTTCGTTTTGTTTCGCTCAAGTAGCCGCTGACGCATTAAAAAGTATGGAAGTTGATTTTTACAAATCTTATTTTCGCTTAGTTACTTTCGCTCGCAGTGGCCTGCCTTAAAGTACACAATGGATGTCGATTCGGAAATGCACTGTCGGACTGTAGGCAGTTTTTATCCCTTTATCTATGAGCGGTATCATTCCTATGACGTAGTAAATGACGTTTTCGATAATGGCGGATCGAGTAACGAGACAATCTTATCTTTTAATAACCTTGGTTCGGTCCACCCTGTATATCCCAAATATTCCAATTTTGGACTTAACATAGTTTGCTTCTAGGGTATAGAAATGGCCATTATTAATAATAAAAAAATATTTCAAAAAACACAATTTACAAAACGCATTATGATAAAATAATTTCCGAATACTCAATAAATTGATTTTACCAAGTTGCATATTTTTATTGTTAGCTTTCAAGAGGTACACAATAAACGACACGATTGATAAATGGTTGTTCGATGCGAAATACATTTCGGCTTTACAAACGAAGCGATAGTATCGAACAAGCAAATCGTTCAAAGTCTCGTTGTTCAAGTAACAAACTAGGTCGGCGATCGGAAGTAGCGTCGTTTAGCTAATTAATTAACCTCAAATTACTATTGTGTCCGGCATTTATAGTTTCACTGTGTCTTTCGGATTACGCCGAATTGTTTACGAGATAATGACTGGTTTATTCGTCGCTTGACATTTTTATTTATTTTAAATTTACGAGTGTGTGTCATGGTTAATATTACTGGTAAATAAATCGTCCTGAAATATCGGTAATTTCGGTAGTTATTAAAAATATAAATATACACTAGTCTACAGTATGCCCCCGGATTCTCATTACCAGAGGAAAAACTTTTTTATTACTGACATCTTGAGAAAAACGCATTCTTCATAAAAAGTTTCCTTGTTCTTAAATTGTTAATCGCGTTTATACTTTTCCAAATTTCTCTACCGATTTAGAGAAAATTAAAAAAAAAACATGAAAATATAGTGGATTTTTTCCTTTAAAAGTCGTACAAAACCAAAATGCGTTTCTATGGTAATTAAATTTCGCTTTCATTCTTTAATACATTATTATGATAGAACTTTAATTAGCGTCATTTTTTGCTGTTTTAAATTTTAAAGAAGCACAAAATTTATTTACTTCAAGCTACTGAAAAGTTGATAATAGTTGTCGGAAAATTTGATACTTTAACAACAGCAAAACAGCATACCACGCTAATAAAAATTAAAAATAACCATCTATCAAAGAATTAAATCTATATTATATTACCATAAATACGCGTTTTGGTTTTTAGGACTGGAAAATATTCAACTATATTTTCATGTTTTTTTTATTTTCTCTAAAACGATTTTTTTTGGAAAAATTTGGAAAATTTTAAAAGGGATTAATCATTTTAGAACAAGCAAATATTTTTATAGAAAATGCATTTTTCTCAAAATGTCAATAATAAAAAGTTCATTATTGTAAAGACAATCCGGCGACATACTGTAGAAGCCCGAAGCCAAACTTTCCAAAATTCAGAAAATATTCGAAATCTTTATTTCGAACTTGTATTAAGATTGAAATAGAACAATTACAATACTTATAGTATATTAAAATAATTTTTATTACCGTTTTCAAGATATCCCCTAAAAAATATATTACTTAGAATTAAATTGTGTGTGGAGCAGTTAGTTGCGAAAATTCAAACCAGTTTATAACAGATTTTGTAAGTGTATGATTGCTACGGTAACAAATCACAGCACAACTTTAAATTCGAATGTTTTGACGTTCTGCAATATTTACATAATCCTGAATGTAAACAATCCGATATTTTAATA